AAATAAGAACGGAGAAAATTTATCGAAGTTATTACCTCTCTTTCCTGTGAGTCAGGGGAACTTGCACTTCCCCTGACTCACAGGAAGAGAATGACTGAATCAAGGACAAATCCGTTTGGTTCTCAAATTTTCTATAAAAAGGTCGAGATCACTTTCTTCGAGGCTTTTTGTCATGAACAACATATCATTAGCCGCTTGGGATCATTAACCCATTCAGTAGTTCCCACCTTTACTTTGGTGTCTCCATTCTACAGTATAATGATATGAAAGGTTCCCAGATAACTAAAACAATTATGTAAGCTCTCTCTCTGTACTTGGATTAGAGATCATATTAAGTAGGAGTAGATCAGTTGTTTTGTATATTTTAGTTATATTATTTTATATTATATTTAGCAAATTTTTTTACAAGCTTATGATATCTATTTGTATCCTACTCCAGAGTTAGATAAATAAATAGTTATTTTATCCATTAGTCAAGCTACCTCCATTTCCGAGCATACATCCCCTCCCAACCACCCGAACAATCCACTTTGATTGGCCAATCGGATCAAGTTTAAATCACTCCTTTTATCGCTAGTTAGAACACAATTATTCTTTATCCTAACTTGTGTCAGGACCTGACTGAGACGAAGATTTTGCGATCTTCCAGTCTCTTCAAACATTACAATTATAGTCATCCTGTACAGTGAGCGGTCGCTCAAAGCCCCTCGTTCTCACAGTATTCTTATTGTCTACAGGTCGAAAAGGGTTTAAAAAAAACCAACTTCAATCTCATATTGAAGAGGTGTGTTAATCATCCCTCAGGATTATACACCTTATTTGAGAGTTTTGTTTACAAATTTCAGCAACTTTCAGAGATTACTTGCAAAATGAATGCATGTATCTCTTCTAAAGATAGTCATACTATCATTAATAAATAAATTATTTTTTTAAATCCTGCTATTGTGTAAATTTAATCAATAACTCTATACCCCAAAATGACCAATTTTTACAAAAATGTTTTGGTAAATATAACTATTTAAAAGTGTTACATTTCTACAAAAACTGCACTTAAATTTGTTACGCAAGAAAAAATGTAGTAAAGTAATAAATATTTAAAGCCATTATAAATTAGTTAAGAAAAAAATATTAAAATCTACTTAAAAAGTATTAAAACATATTTTATAATTTTGTTCTTTGCAAATATTTCAATTTAAACATTAAAAACCTCTACGTTTCAATTGAACGCTTTTATTTTATAAACGAAATTTAAAAACTTCATTTCGCCAAAAAGCAAATTTATTAAATCTATTTCAATATTCAATTAACAATTTCAATCTATTTGATATTTCTATATACCTATACCAATTTTATAATATTATATAATAATTTATATGTATTAGTAACAATACATATAATAACAATACATGTTTACTGTATTTTTAAATCTTGTCAAATCATTTTTACATTCTACACATAATTTGAATGAAATTAATTTCTTTTCTGTCTTTTTTATTGAAAAATTATCGTTGTTTTGATTCAAATCTTACCATAACTTTCTTCGGTTGAATAAGGCCTTGGCCGGTGTAAAATTCCAAAGGCTGTAACAAAAATGTTATTTAATGAAATTATATATTGCATATAACTTACATTTATTTTGTATCTGTTAAGATCCTCTTTAATCTACTTAATATGTTACTGTTTTTAAAATTACATCTTTTAAAAATTGTGTGCACGGGCATCACCTTGAGCTTAAGTTTTTAGAAGATATGAAAAGAATAATTTTGGAATGAGTTTTAAAAAGAAGCAGGAAAAGTATAACAGTTTCAAATATCGGTTCATAAAAATAAATTTAATAAAATGTTTAAAATAAACGTATCAGAGAATATGGAATCGTCTATATACGCACATCTGATAAAAATTGTATCAAATTCAATAAATCTGCGTTTATTTTTCATATTAAACATTAGAAAAAAAAACGAAAACTTGGCAAAGTCAGCATTGTTATGTTAAAAGTTCGATGGCTCAGTGTTTTTTAAAAATAATTGCGAACAATAAAAAGTTTGAATCATAAAAACGTCGAAAACATCACATGGAATACAAAACGAATATTAGTCTTTTATCATTGATATATTAAACTTATCGATGCCAAACCAATTTTAATATTAAATCGTTCATTATATATAACATTTGTATTCGTAAGATGAAGAATAAAGATAATATTTAAAAATAGTGGTCATCTAGGTTACTATAATTTTCTTCTTGCTTATTCATGTTTAATCCATTTGAAAATACAGTAGATCCCCCTATAAGACGGGTTCCTATAATTACGATTAAGACGACAAAAAAATTGTGGCGGTATCCGTAAACAACGGTAAAAAAAAAAAACTCCTATAATTACGTAAAATGTCATCAGGCAGCCGAACTACTTTCCACCGTCCAGCGCCTCGCTATGGACAGTTTAGGCGGGTAAATTGAGTTTAGTATCATCTGTACATATAAATTATATATAAATTAGGTACTGTATATATAATTATATATTAACTTAATTTATTGTAACTTTATTATAATTATATATATACTTTCCGCTGTCTAGCGCCATGCTATGGAGAGTTTAGGCGAGCTATTGTCTGTACAGTATGTAAAATAGGCACTGTAATTTTATACATTTCTTGTGAAAGAAACATTTCTTATTCAACGGTGATTAAAATTATTTATATACATGTCGTCTCCAAAGTTCAACGAAGTTTTCGCAGAAAAATAACATCAGAAATCACGGTCGCGACGAAAACAAGCTTGAGCAACGGCGATGTCGAATAGTGCACACTCAGTAAGTAATCCTACAATTTTTTGTTTATAGCATAGTTTATATGGATTATTTCCAAAAAAAAATATACGTATTTTGGAAATGTTGAGTCAGATTAGTCTAGAATTGATTAATTTTATGGAAGAAAACCTTTCAAACAGCCGTAGTCCGTAAACTTCACATGTGTCGGGCTGTGATTGGTTGTGATTCCTACAAAATTGATTCATAAAGAACGGAACGTATCTACTGTCTTATAGGGGGATCGACTGTATATAATTTTCATATAATTATAATAAGTTTATAATGGTTACCTGAGGTATTCCATGCCAAGCTGAATATGACTCTCACACACATTATAGACTTTATTTGTTTGTCAGATTGTATCTATAATATTTATTACTCTGCACATATATGGTTAGAAATAGAGAGATGCATTACAGACTTTGAAGTTAGAAATAGAGAGATGCATTACATACTTTGCTGTTTTAAATGATTGACTTCTTCCAGGTAACAGATAACTTTTCTTTACAAATAAATAATTTCTAAAATAGATTTGTTCTATCTTATTTAGAAATATTCCAGTAACAATTTACAATTTTAATATAATGAATTTAAACAAATAAGGAATTTCTAGAATCAATTTTTTATAATTTATTTTATTGTANCATTGCTTGTGAGAACTCGATTGCTTGCTTGTGTGGAGGTATTCCGCAGAAAACAAATGTGCATTCATGACGTCATTCAAATCATTTCACACAGCCAGATTGTATCAAGAGCTTGTGGTACCTAGTCAGCATAAATGTATTGTGTACAGGGGTGGATCTAAATAGAAACTAATAGGGCTTAAACCAAGGGCCCACAAAAATTGGATATAAATTCAATAATCAAATTATTGAAATAAATTTTTAATACTTTCTCATTATAATATATTTCATGTATTCACGAGTTTTAATTCTTTACTAAAACAATTGCAAATATGTTTATTAAACATATAAATTCAATAATCAAAAATATGGATTGCATTATTCTATAATATAATTCAATTATACATACACATGTACACAATGTTTCAAGAGTCAAGTTTTTCTAAACATTAATAACAACTTTTTATTTGCAAAAACTTGATTTTTATTCAACGCATAAACAATTCAATTTATGGAATTTATGGATTCATGACCACAAGTAGCAACCACATTCAGAGGATTTAAAATCATATTGATATTTATAAAAATCTTCATGTAGAATTAAGTTATATTTCTTTAATTAAGTAAATCACTTTAACCTATTTATATAATTTAAATTATAATCCTGAGCAAAAGTGTTTCATTTTTAGGATTACTAATGATGCAAATCCAAATTATAGTTAAGCATGAATAAATTTAACAATTATTCTTGTTTAGAGTATATTTATTGCCCATTACAGTATTGAATTCAACATTTAGTTTTTGTTCCATGCTATTAATGTGTGTGATAAAAATGTTTGACCTCTAAAATATTTTTTTACTATACCAGTTTCAGTTACTATAACTATAACAACCACCAATTATATATAATTCATGTTTTAAATAATATAGATTCAACTAAATTTCTATCAGAATTAGATTTTCTTCTTATATTTTTGTAGAAAAAACATTTATTAAAATGTTCATAAAATTGATAGTATGTCAATATGTTGTATTATTCTCACCTTTAAATTCATTAAAATAATGATAGTTTATTCAAAGAAAAAAAACCCATCATAAAAACAAGTCCCAAAAAACAAAAGATGCAAGTATTTATATAGGATAAGTAAAAGAAAGAAATTTTAATAATATTGTATAGCAAATATTTTGAAAATTATCAATGATCATTATAAATTGTAATTAATCTTTCATATTAATTTTCAAATTTTTGTTATAGTAGTACCAATTTCCTCTCAATAATTTTTATCTCTTTAAAATAATAACATTAAAAATGTGTATTATTGTAGTTACATTTTATTATGAATGATTTGTCTCATATTGAAGTTAAATAATAAAAGATAACAGAAAAATATTTTGTAATACATGTTGTTTTAAGTTTTTTTTTTTTTTTTTATAAATTGCAATATAAGAAAAGTAATATATCCATACTTATAGGTTTGCTTTAGATAATATGGAAACTAAATTAATTGAAGCTTGAATAATTGGGATTCTACTGTAATTAAAAACATTGCAAATAATTAAACAAAGCTTACTTTAGTACCACAAATAATCATTTTTTGTGGGATAGATGCAGATGGTGATGACTGTTCATATGGTACTGGATTCTGAGCAGCAGCTACATCATCTGTTTGTTCTTTAGTTTGTTCAAGAATTTGATGTACAACCCTTTGAATTAACCTCTCACTTCCAAAAGCTCCTAAATAATATTTTATTGATTAATATTTAAACATATTAAATGTTATTCTTCAGTTTATAGAAAAAAATTTCTTAATTAAACTAAAAATCATTTTTGATGACTTTGTTTTACTATATTTTTTTATGTATAGTAATTTAATAAGTTCAGATATATACTTTTCAAAATCAATAAAAAAATCTATATACATTTTTAGAAATATTTAAATGATATTTTAAAAACTTAAGTTTAAAAAATTTAATTTATAATTACAAATACAGATGATTCTCAACTTTTAGACGTGTCTTTCACACAATATTTTGATATTTTTAACTAACTTCTTGGTATGTCAAATTCACACTTTTAAACATTTTCTCAGTGGACAAAAATTTCAAAGTATTGAGTGTCAAAACGTTTTGCCACTTTTGATTCTCGCCTTAATTATAAATATAAACAATTTTCAATTTATATTAAAATTTGTAGTCTGTTGATTATTACAACACAATGGCTATTTCAACAGCTATACAAATTCTAATAATTTCAGAAATTTTGCCTCAATTTTAGAGATGGAGTGAATTTCTGTTTTTATTAAAAGAAGCTAATAAGAAAAAGAATGTATGACACATTACTATCATAAACAAACATTAAATTGTATTTATTTTTAAAAGTTTATTGATATTTTATATATGTGAAACTATTGCTATTTCAATAAATTCACATGCAAAAAATATGGCAAAATTTCAATAAACTTAAAATTTACCTGGAAAATGTTTCTGTACCACTTCTGAAGCTACATCATATACATTACTATTTAATGCTGCATCACTTTCATATTGAAACCAAGTTACAATCTCATGTATGACTTTATCATTCCATTCTAATATTATAGGAAGTCTAAAAATTTTATAAAAAATAATTTATTAAAATTTATACTAAATCAGAATTATTACTTTTTACTAAATAATTACAAAAATTTTATTTATATGAATTTATGAAGTTTATATTATCCAAATTCATTTAAATCACTCAAACTTTTTTTTTTATGATATTCAATAATTTAAATTTTATAGAAAACTAGATGATACGTCTGGCACTGCCAGGGCAAACAGTAAGAACAACAAACATTAAAATGATAATCATATTAAGACTGGTTATTTTAGCCTACCACTGTCATGTTTATCATGAAATGTTAAATAAATTATAAAAAGAAGCAGAAAATTAACAAAATAGAATAAAAAATCTACTTTGAAAAAGAAAAACCAAATCAATCTTGTTTAACTTAATTTAACAAAAATAAAACGAATAATCAGACTTTGAGGCAAATAGACCAAAGAATTTTGCTTGGCGCACTGGAAGATTCTCAAGTACGTGTTTTATTCTTGCTAAGAATGTGATACTCAGATGGTTTGCAATGGCATAACTTCATTGGTCAGGTAGAAAGGAACTGATGTTTTTCAACAGAAAATAGTTGTTGACTTCATTCAAATCATCCAATTTTTTTTTATCATTAACTCTAACATACCATTCACAGCTTATTAAGAAACAGTATTCAGTCAGCCAATGAAATTTCACAAAAAAGGACCAAATATTTAAACTTGGCCCTATCAAAATCTCTAAAAACATATTTTATGCTCACTAATAAGTTTGTATTAAGTAATTTTCCTACTCAAATGTCACCAATCCACCGGTCAGATAAAAGGGGAGCCTGTTGTGACAAAGAGAGTAAAATTAATTAGACCAAATGTTGATTTCATCTAGGATGAGAGGATGGTCTTTCATTGCATTTGCTCAAACTATAACAATCTTTCTTCTTTATATATTAAATTTTATGAAAATTTAAAATAGATCAAATAAAAAAATATACTAAATGAAATTCAGATGTATTCACGAGTTTTAATTCTTTACTAAAACAATTGCAAATATGTTTATTAAACATATAAATTCAATAATCAAAAATATGGATTGCATTATTCTATAATATAATTCAATTATACATACACATGTACACAATGTTTCAAGAGTCAAGTTTTTCTAAACATTAATAACAACTTTTTATTTGCAAAAACTTGATTTTTATTCAACGCATAAACAATTCAATTTATGGAATTTATGGATTCATGACCACAAGTAGCAACCACATTCAGAGGATTTAAAATCATATTGATATTTATAAAAATCTTCATGTAGAATTAAGTTATATTTCTTTAATTAAGTAAATCACTTTAACCTATTTATATAATTTAAATTATAATCCTGAGCAAAAGTGTTTCATTTTTAGGATTACTAATGATGCAAATCCAAATTATAGTTAAGCATGAATAAATTTAACAATTATTCTTGTTTAGAGTATATTTATTGCCCATTACAGTATTGAATTCAACATTTAGTTTTTGTTCCATGCTATTAATGTGTGTGATAAAAATGTTTGACCTCTAAAATATTTTTTTACTATACCAGTTTCAGTTACTATAACTATAACAACCACCAATTATATATAATTCATGTTTTAAATAATATAGATTCAACTAAATTTCTATCAGAATTAGATTTTCTTCTTATATTTTTGTAGAAAAAACATTTATTAAAATGTTCATAAAATTGATAGTATGTCAATATGTTGTATTATTCTCACCTTTAAATTCATTAAAATAATGATAGTTTATTCAAAGAAAAAAAACCCATCATAAAAACAAGTCCCAAAAAACAAAAGATGCAAGTATTTATATAGGATAAGTAAAGAAAGAAATTTTAATAATATTGTATAGCAAATATTTTGAAAATTATCAATGATCATTATAAATTGTAATTAATCTTTCATATTAATTTTCAAATTTTTGTTATAGTAGTACCAATTTCCTCTCAATAATTTTTATTACTTTTTTATAACTCTCATAATTTTGATAAAATTACTGAATGTAATAAAAGAATATTTATAAGAAATTTTTACAGAAATACTAGACTAGTCAAATTACATTTATGAATAATTTATTCATTTAAATTTTCATTATTGTAATTTCATTTTAAAATATTTATGCATGATAGCTAATATACATATTTTAATATAATATGTAATATAGTGGGTGATCAGTTAAAGAACAGTTCAGATAGTGAACAAATCGGATAACGAATACTTTCATGAAAGATTTTTATGATCGGACAACGAACACTTTACTGAACAAACATAAAAAGAAGCAATGGAAAGTAACAAATACAAATTGGTTTTCCCTTGTCTTTGGGTAACAATTTGAAACCTTTTGGAGCACGGGAGATGTGAACATCAACGCTCTATCTGATACCAATCAGATAGTATAATATTCCTTCGAATTTTGAAACTCTTTGTAATTCCAGCTTTTTGTTTACCTTTCTGACAAATAATTTTTTGTTATAGTAGTACCAATTTCCTCTCAATAATTTTTATTACTTTTTTATAACTCTCATAATTTTGATAAAATTACTGAATGTAATAAAAGAATATTTATAAGAAATTTTTACAGAAATACTAGACTAGTCAAATTACATTTATGAATAATTTATTCATTTAAATTTTCATTATTGTAATTTCATTTTAAAATATTTATGCATGATAGCTAATATACATATTTTAATATAATATGTAATATAGTGGGTGATCAGTTAAAGAACAGTTCAGATAGTGAACAAATCGGATAACGAATACTTTCATGAAAGATTTTTATGATCGGACAACGAACACTTTACTGAACAAACATAAAAAGAAGCAATGGAAAGTAACAAATACAAATTGGTTTTCCCTTGTCTTTGGGTAACAATTTGAAACCTTTTGGAGCACGGGAGATGTGAACATCAACGCTCTATCTGATACCAATCAGATAGTATAATATTCCTTCGAATTTTGAAACTCTTTGTAATTCCAGCTTTTTGTTTACCTTTCTGACAAATAATTTTTTGTTATAGTAGTACCAATTTCCTCTCAATAATTTTTATTACTTTTTTATAACTCTCATAATTTTGAAATTTAATTTAATTAAGAAATTTAATTATAATTTTTTATAGTCTTCGCGAGACTGTCAGATGGACACTTGTTAAGTTTTGCGTTGAGGTTTATTTACGAAAGGTAAAAGTTTAACTGTCCCATCAGATATTTGTTAATGTTTTAATACCAAATTTAGAATTTTATTTGCACCTTGCATTTAAATAATTTTTTGTGGGCTAGTTGATTTCTGTTCTCTGAATTTTTATAAGTGCTTTTCTGAACTTTTTATTTAAAAAATAAACGGATAATTTGGAGCCTAAAAAGAGGAGTGTCAAGAACTGTGCTCACCGTAGAAACCAAGCAAGAGATAATAGCCAAGGTAGAAAGTGGGCAGAAGATGTCTGATGTTGCTAGGCAGTATGGCTTGAACAGGTCTACAGTANATGAATAAATTTAACAATTATTCTTGTTTAGAGTATATTTATTGCCCATTACAGTATTGAATTCAACATTTAGTTTTTGTTCCATGCTATTAATGTGTGTGATAAAAATGTTTGACCTCTAAAATATTTTTTTACTATACCAGTTTCAGTTACTATAACTATAACAACCACCAATTATATATAATTCATGTTTTAAATAATATAGATTCAACTAAATTTCTATCAGAATTAGATTTTCTTCTTATATTTTTGTAGAAAAAACATTTATTAAAATGTTCATAAAATTGATAGTATGTCAATATGTTGTATTATTCTCACCTTTAAATTCATTAAAATAATGATAGTTTATTCAAAGAAAAAAAACCCATCATAAAAACAAGTCCCAAAAAACAAAAGATGCAAGTATTTATATAGGATAAGTAAAGAAAGAAATTTTAATAATATTGTATAGCAAATATTTTGAAAATTATCAATGATCATTATAAATTGTAATTAATCTTTCATATTAATTTTCAAATTTTTGTTATAGTAGTACCAATTTCCTCTCAATAATTTTTATTACTTTTTTATAACTCTCATAATTTTGATAAAATTACTGAATGTAATAAAAGAATATTTATAAGAAATTTTTACAGAAATACTAGACTAGTCAAATTACATTTATGAATAATTTATTCATTTAAATTTTCATTATTGTAATTTCATTTTAAAATATTTATGCATGATAGCTAATATACATATTTTAATATAATATGTAATATAGTGGGTGATCAGTTAAAGAACAGTTCAGATAGTGAACAAATCGGATAACGAATACTTTCATGAAAGATTTTTATGATCGGACAACGAACACTTTACTGAACAAACATAAAAAGAAGCAATGGAAAGTAACAAATACAAATTGGTTTTCCCTTGTCTTTGGGTAACAATTTGAAACCTTTTGGAGCACGGGAGATGTGAACATCAACGCTCTATCTGATACCAATCAGATAGTATAATATTCCTTCGAATTTTGAAACTCTTTGTAATTCCAGCTTTTTGTTTACCTTTCTGACAAATAATTTTTTGTTATAGTAGTACCAATTTCCTCTCAATAATTTTTATTACTTTTTTATAACTCTCATAATTTTGAAATTTAATTTAATTAAGAAATTTAATTATAATTTTTTATAGTCTTCGCGAGACTGTCAGATGGACACTTGTTAAGTTTTGCGTTGAGGTTTATTTACGAAAGGTAAAAGTTTAACTGTCCCATCAGATATTTGTTAATGTTTTAATACCAAATTTAGAATTTTATTTGCACCTTGCATTTAAATAATTTTTTGTGGGCTAGTTGATTTCTGTTCTCTGAATTTTTATAAGTGCTTTTCTGAACTTTTTATTTAAAAAATAAACGGATAATTTGGAGCCTAAAAAGAGGAGTGTCAAGAACTGTGCTCACCGTAGAAACCAAGCAAGAGATAATAGCCAAGGTAGAAAGTGGGCAGAAGATGTCTGATGTTGCTAGGCAGTATGGCTTGAACAGGTCTATGATAGGCACAATCTTAGCTATGAAAGATATGTCAAGAAGTCTCAAGCTGCTAATGGAGTAATGAAAATCACATCTGAGAAATAAAGAGCATTTTAGAGCTCATAATGGAACCTGAAACTGATCTAACGACATAAGAAGTCCAGGGATGTCAGAACAACGATCATCCAAGTGGCATCCAAACCAGAATAAGACTAATGGAGTTGGGGATCTCTACAATTACAATACTATTAATTACTTCCGAAAAATCCTGAAGAAAAGAGAAAAGCAATCGACATTGGACAGATTCTCTAACACCCACAAACAGAAAAAACATGACTAATAAAAATGCAAGACTGCATATATATGTATTTTTACTATTACATATAAATAAACATAGTAAAAAAGTATGTATTTTTTTATTTTTTGGAGTCTCCAGAACGAATTAATCAAATTCCCATAAAAACTTATGGTAAATCGATAATCTGTTGACGAACAATTCAGAAAATGAACAAAATCTTGGAATGGATTATGTTCATTAACCGATCACCCACTGTATATACTTTCTTTGTTATTACAAAAAATAAAACTAACTATTATTTATTAATAATTTTATCACAGGAATAGTACTTTTTGTGTTTAAATAAAAAATTAGTTTAACTGATTATAACTATAGTATTGAAATTACATATAATCAATATATTAATTAGAGAAAGGCTGATCATCATGTATTTTTTTCCTCATTTTCAAAATTTTATTTCAGAGAAATTCACACAGTAGACAGCAGTAAAGCATGAATTTCACTGTTATGTATTAAAGTTCTATCTCTTTGAAACATATCTGCTGTAAAATGAATGAAATAAATTCAAAATTATTTTGAAAAATTTCTTATTGTATTTCATCTTATAAATCTAATTATTTTATTATTAATTTAATTTAGTTTAAAAATATATCTTAAATTAAATGTACAATACATGAGCCATAAATTCTTCAAAACTTACTGCTGGGGTATGCTATCATATTCTTTTCCATTCCAATAATGCTTGTAACCACAACTACAATTTGAATGTTTTGTTGAACTTCTGGGTGTTTTAGTTCTATCACCATTTTTGTATTGTATAGAACCATCTTTATTGACAAGCCTTAGTAGTTGACTAACAGAAAAGTAAGTTCCTATTATTACTTTTTTCATTGCAATTAAAAGTTTATTCTAAACAACATAGATAAACAACAATTATAAATTTTTAATTATAATAAGAGTTTTACTTAAGATTACTTACTCCACTTACTATAAATTATTTTACTTTATTTTCCACTTTTTATAAAATGTGGAATGATAAAATTTTCTTATATTTTATATAAAATAACAGAAAATAAAAAAAAAAACATTTCTGTTAAGAAATATAATTTCTTATCTTCACTTATGATAACTGTATTAAATCACAATACAATTCTCATAAGTAAAGATTGTGATAAATACACTATTATTAATTTTCACTACACTACACTATAATTAATTTATTAAGAAATTTTAAATGAGTATTTTAAGAAAAATTATAACTAAGATTATTCTTAAAATGCTCATTTAAAATTTCAGTTTATGAGTTTATGAACATAAAATATTATGCTAATTGTTTCTGATAGAACAATTGTTATTTATCAAAAACTGCAGAAACAAAGAGAAATTATTTTAATTCATAGCTACATCTGTCCTAATTCTGTTTCCCTGAAGATAATTCTACAAAAATTTCAGACATAAAACAAAATTGTCTTTAATTTAATGAAATCAAAAATTTAATTTACTTAAAATATGAAGAAAAATTTTCATTTCTTGATATTTGTTATTGCTATTTAACATTTGTACATATAGAAAAAGTGTACAATTCTACTTCAGTTTGACAATCTATTACTCAGGAAGAACAAAATATAAAAGTTAGTCTGAATTAACATAAAAAATTTGCTAGTCTTGCAAAGAGAATATTGAATTATTTAAATTTTAAACTGATAGCTATTTGTTTAGTAAAATTACATTATTATCTTTCGAGTATTTATATGTGGTACGATCAAAAAGTTCGGGGACTGCAGTAATGTATGACAACAAAAGCATGTATTTAAAGTTATAGCGTATGAAATGAATTCTATCAAACCACCCCTACGTGTTCAGGTTGATTTTGCCCATGTCACATGATTAAACAGCGAGTACTGTTGTTTTTTTTCAGAGATAGTTACTTTTGTTTTGCAACGTAATAAAAATGGAGTTTCAAGAACAGCGCTGCATCATTAAATTTTGTCAGCGTTTAGGTAAAACATCTATGAAGACTTTAAAATTGCTAAGAAAGGTGTACGGTGATTCTACCATGGTGAAATCAAAGGTTTAAAGAGGGTCGAGAATCTATCGCAGATGATGAACGCTCTGGCCAATCTTCAACTTCATGGAATAAGGAAAATGTTGAGTTGGTCTCTCAATTATCTAGACATTTTACGTTGTTTGAGGGAATCCATTTGTCGTAAACGGCCGCAGATCTAGCGAAGTGGAGAGTGGTATCTTCTGCATGACAACGCACCTGCAAATCGGTCCCAAATGGTCACACAGTTTCTCACCAAATCTCAAATTAATGTGCTTCCACACCCCACCTACTCACCGGACTTATCTCCATGTGATTTTTATTTGTTTCCATCAATGAAAAATCATTTGCAGGAACACCGTTTTGTGTCATCAGATGAGGTTAGAGCAGCATTGCAAGAGGCCTTACGGGAGGTTTCAAAAAATGCCTTCCAGCAGTGCTTCCAGAAGTTATACGAGTGCTGGCAAAAGTGTATCGTTGCCCAAGGTGATTATTTTGAAAGTGGTTGTGCATAGGCAATATAAACTTTTTAAGGTAAGGAATTTTAAGCCAAGTCCCCGAACTTTTGGATCGTACTACGTATATTTTTATATCAATATTTATAAATTAAATCAATTCTCTGCTCAAAATATTTGGTAATATAATAGAAAATATTCTCTTCGCAATGTATAAAAAACTTAATAAACAATAGATTTTCTGTAACCTAATATGTCATCATATTAATTATTTATATATTCTTTAGAGTATAAAAGTAAGTCTATTAATATGTTAAGGATATTAAATCAAATCTTTCTTAATCCATCTATTCTTTATAAAATTGCAGTATGACATTTTAAATATATTTTTAGCATTTCAATTCTGAAAATTTTAATTTATTGTATTTAATGTAGTTTTAACTTACCCATGACACCATAAACATTTATCTAAAGTTAAGGGAGTTTCTGGAACTAGTTCATCTTTCTCTTGATCATAGCGACAAACAATACCTAAAAGCATTACATCAAATAAATAACTAAATTTATACTAGCATTCTACTGTTTATTTAAAAAATAAAGCTAATAATTACATTACTTATCATTAATGAACTATATGCTATTAATCTCTATCAGTAACACAGGATGAACAAACAAAATACTTGTAAAAAGATAAACTTGACAATATATGCAAGATATTTTAAATGGTATTTCTTGAATTTATACTATACAAATGTTAAACATTTGAGTATTTCTCATAACATGTAGCAGGACAGTAACAAGCATAACCAATTCATAACATGACCAAGTCACCAAAAACCATTTGTTTGTTCATTACAGTAATGTAACATTTGGGCGATCTGAATTGGGAGGATGCCTTCCAGTTATCCTGTAAGGTATTCCCCCAATTCAGATCACCTAAGTGTTGTATTTTAAGGGTAACTGGCCCCCTATTTAGGCATTAAAGACATGGAGAAAACCCAGAAAACTCCACATGGCCAGGATGTCCTGGTGAGGCATGAACCCATGACCAAACTACCAGTGTTCAGGAAACAGAACTACTTAGCCATCACCTAAACTTAATGCTGTGAAACTTTTCATTTGATCATATGCTATAATCTCTAATAAAGAAAATTAAAAGTTTTTTAATTTAAAGCAAAACCTAACGAAATACTAACTGAATAATTTTGAATTTTATTAAAATTAAAATAAATATTAAAAATAAAAAAATTCAGAAAGGCAATCAATTAATGTTTCTCATAAATCTGAAATCTGCCTGGATAACAAACCTGGATATTTCTTTACTTTTTCATTTAAATAATTGATATCCTCTTCCATCATGCTAATAAACTTTTTCATAAAGCATAACATTACCACTGTAATTTAAAAATGTATTGAAAAATAAGTGCAATATCATAAATTAAATATTTAATGTACTCTTACATTATAAAGCATATCATAATTTTGCCATGATAATTTACATTATAAAAACTAAATAATTTTTGTGTGCCATTTAAATTAAATTAGACATGTAAATATATTGGAATAAATATTTGATACTTCAAAATCATTTAACTAAAGAGTTACATAATATTTTAGTAAAAAGGTTTTTATTCATTTGATGGAAGGGTAAGTTAAGTATTTAATTCAGAAGTATTACATTTATTATGCATATATTCTGGTTTAGCCATTTCCATACCAAAATGTTTGCATGATTATTTTTCTGATAATGAATGATGTAATTTTTATTAATACATTTCCAAAACTAAGTCTGAACTTTAAGCAACACTGACATTTAATATTAAGTTTCTTAGTTTCTATAGCTTATTCACAAAAGTATCTAATAGTATGCATAAATGCAAATGGCATGAATTGCTAGTGTACAAGCATGCTTTACTCTGAAATCATCATAAATTAATTTATCACCTGATAAATCTTTTTTAGTCCAAGCAGAAAAGAAATGCCTCTTTCAAAAATTACACTCTATTAATTAAAATATATTTCACTAATGTTTTCAGTTTTTTTCAGTCTATCTTCAATTTTTTTGATATAAATGTTTATAATAATTGCAATAATATTAATATTTGCATTACTACTTGTAACACTACTATTTGCACTAAATGGGGGCGTCAGGACGTCGAAGCTGCGAGTGACTTTTTTTGTGAACCTTACCTTAGGATAGTGAAGTGACAAATAATAGTCTGTTTGATTAATTTATTACTAAATAAGTGCAAACTAATATTATATTACTTCAATTTAAAGAAAGAAAGTAATATTTCAAAAAAATAACATTATGCAAAGATCCCCAGTTAAGCGAGGTAGACTGCCACTTACAAGATCGAGAACAGAGAACAAACAAGATGATTCAGGTTCTTCAAGCTCAAAACTCATTACAGACTATGGAATACAGTTAAATAGTGATTTGCAAGAAGAAATAAGAGAGTATAACCAGCAAAATTTATTGAGTTCAACAGGTGAGTCATCTAATATTAATTCAAATTCAGTTACAAATCTTGCAAGTCATTTTGACACTTCTACGGCACTCTTATGGTCTAAAATATCTGATTTAATAAAGGACTCTAATGATAAACTACTAGAACAAATGGTCTATATAAAAGAAGATATAGAAAACATACGTCAGGACATACGTGAGTCCAAGGAAAAACAGCTATACATGGAGAAGGAAATTAAAAATTTACAACAACAATTAGAACAACAAAAAAGTGAAAACGAACTAATGCAATTCAAAATAGATTCTTTAAATAATGATTATAATTATAAAAAAGTAATAGTATACAATTATCCTGTTGAAAAATCTATATCTACATCAGAAATATATAAGTTTATGACAAATGTACTTAATATTAATGACATATCCCAATCTGATATAATAGAAACAAACTTAATAACAAAGAAACCTAACATAGTAGTAAGAATAATATTTAATAATAAGCAAATCCGTGATAAATTCTTCTATACTTTTATTCAAAAGAAACAACTAAGAAATACATCAAATGAATGGAAAGACATGCAAATGGCACCAGAATTAACCAAAAACTCAAGATTAAGAAGGAAAAAGTTACTCCCAATTTTTTATGAATGGCGAAAACAAAAAGATCAAGTTAAACTTCGTAACGATATATTAATGATAAATCAAGAAAAAATAACATATAGTTTAAAATTGTGTAAATTGGTTTATGTAAACAACTTTCATCCTTATAGTGACCAAATAGATATGAACAGCTGATACCATGACAAACAAAAATATAATCATTATAATAGAATCATAAAAAATAATCAAATGGTTTCCATTGTAAACTGGAATGGTCAAGGAATAAAAAATAAAATGTCATCAATAGTTAAAATTTGCACTAAATACGAACCGGATATTTTAGCAATTACAGAAACTTGGATTACTTCAAATTTATATTATAATAAAAAATTTTTCAACGATTATATAATAGAAGCGATACAAGCACAGAAACCGATTGGTCCGGGTCGGCCTAGCGGAGGAGTATGCATCCTTATAAAAAAGAACTTTGGGAAAATAATTGATATAAAAAAATTCAATAATTATATGATAATTCTTATCTCACCACTGAAGACTATCTTAGAAGATAAAATTAATAAATTCATAACATTATTAATAGCATATATTCAGCCTGATGATTTAAATAATTTAAAAAATTGTTTCAAAGTATTAGAAAGCTGGATACATATTTCTCCACTCATCTTAATAATGGGAGATTTTAATGCAAGGATTGGTGAATTAACAGACTCAAAATATAAAGGAACCAATCAATGCATAACTAATAATCGTATTTCAAAAGATAAGCAAACTAATAGATTGGGAAAATATCTTATCGAGTTACTAAAGGAACACAGATTATTTTTACTGAATGGTAGAATGCAACAGGATATTCCTGCTGAACACACTTGTTTAACTAATATGGGTGCTTCGACAATAGATTTCACTATCTGTTCTGAACAACTTTTGGATTATTGTGTGGAATTTCGAATTACGAATCTTGATAGTTCAGACCACTTTCCTACAATAGCAAAATTTCGCTTGTTTCCTTCTGAGAATTTAAATAATATAGAAAATTACAACTTCAAGATAAAGTATAAACTGGATAAATATAGATCGGAAATTGATACTCGATTAAAAAATATGCCGGAAGTAACTAACTACAATTGTGAAGAAGTATATAAAACATTCATAAATACAATGAATGATTACATAATAATAAGCAAAAATAAAAAATATATGCAAAATAAAAATATAAAAATCTGGTATGATGGTGATTGTCACAAAGGAAAACTCCGAAAGCAACAAAAATTAAAAATGTATAGACAAAATCCTAATCATGAAAATTTAATTAATTATAAAAATTCCAAACGAACTTATAATAACTTAATTAATACAAAAAAGAAAAACTACCTTCGCAGAATTGAATTAAATCTGATTAATAATACTAATAATAGCAAAGTATTTTGGAATACTATCAAAAGATTTCGAACAAAAGATAATTTAGGAAGTAGTAACATTGGAATAAGTTTTGAAAACTGGAAAAAATTCTATCAAAAATTCATCATAAACAACATAAAAATTCCAACGGAAAAAAATTACTATAGTGATGAGTATTTAAATGCTGATATGACTATGAACGAATTGGAGGAAGTTATTCAAAAAACCAAGAACAATACTACCCCTGGAGACGATAATATACCATCTAAATTCTTAAAAATTCTACCAATAGAATCCAAAATAAAACTATTGAAACTATTTAATACAATGTACAAAACATTATCCTATCCTGAATCATGGAATTCAATAATAATGACGACGATATACAAAAAGGGAGACCAAATGTCTCCAGAAAATTATAGACCTATAGCTCTGTTATCTACACTCAGAAAATGTTTTACATCGATACTGGCAATAAAATTTCAACATTGGATCAAAACCTATGAGTTGGAAGCAGAATTTCAGTTTGCTTATACAAAAAATAAAGGCACCGAATCTGCAATATTTACCTTAATGATGATTATTCAAATATATTTAGTTAAAAAACATAGAAAAATATATGCAGCATTTATAGATATAACAAAGGCATTCGACTCAGTATATGTACCACTACTACAACAAAAACTTAAGGAAAATGGTGCAAGTTCCCAATTTATAGAAACAATAGCATTACTATTTCAAAATTACAAAATAAAGATTAAGCAAAATAAGAATACTCTTCCACCAATAAGGCATTCACGTGGTGTACTTCAAGGAGACCCACTATCTCCATATCTATTTAATTTTTATCTGGCAGATATAGATTATCTTTTCTCTGAAGCAGATGATGGAGTAATCATAGGAAATAAAGCATTCCATTATATATTGTTTGCGGATGATCTGGTCGTGATAGCACCGACAAAAATCTCACTCCAAAGGAAAATAAACCAAATAAATTTGTATTTCAAGTCCAAATATTTAGCAATTAATCCAAGCAAAACTAAAATAATTATCTTTCGGAATAACAGTAAAATATCCATCAATGAAACAAAAATTTATCTCGAAAAAATTTTACTACAAACAGTGAATGAAATAAATTACCTAGGAGTTAATTTCGACTGGAATCTAACATTTAAATCGCATATATCTAAACTTAAAAATAAAGTTAAACAAGCAATAGATAACCTTCTATTTTTGTGCAGCAAATTAAAAACTTCAGATTTAAGAATACATATGAAACTTTACAGCTCGATTATTAATCCAATGTTATTTTACGCCAGTCCTATTTGGTGCTTGGACTATTTCTACCAACTCGAACAATTCCACATTTATTATCTACGCAGACTATTTCACATAGAAAGAACAGTACCGGGATATGCACTACGTCATGAAACTAATCGAATATGGTTATTCCCGTTTATATTAAAGCGAATTATCAAATTCTTCTACAAACTTAATTTCAAATGTGATAATAATTTAACTATTTTATACCATGAAAATATTAGACAAAGTAAACTACAAAAAAATAAACAACTATGGTATAACAAGCTGCAAACTATCTTCAATTCCTTTGGAGTATCAGTTCTATTATTTAAAGATAAAATTCAAGATTGGAAAACAGGTTATTCATTGATGTTAGAATCAGCTATAGCTCAATCTATAACAAAAGATCAGGACTCTCTTTATAGCAGTAAATATCACTCGTGGTACTTGGATATATTTGAAATACCTTCAATGCAATCATATATATGGCAATCGGTAAATTTGAACATAAAACGATTTATAATGCAACTTCGTCTAAACAAATATTCGCTGTATGTTAACAATACTTATATAAGTTTACTAACTAAATGTTTTTTATGTAATGCTGACGTTTTAACACCTTACCATTTGATATTAACATGTCCAAAGTTAAAGGAACTTCGTGAACATTATGATATAAATAGCACTTATAAATGCAACTCGCTAATAGAATTGTTAAAAAATTTTAACAATATGAGTAAAAAAGAATTATATAATATTTATAATTATTTTTGTAAAATAATAGAAACTTATAATAACAAAATAAATTAAATTAAAGAATATGTGAATATGTACGCGAGTAATAAGTGCAAATTAAATAATTAATGGAAAAATATTGTTTTATTAAAGATAAATATGGACACATGAAACTACAACCCCTTGTAATAGGGAAGTAATTCCCAATAGACAATAAACTTTTTCTGATTTCTGATATTTGCACTAAATATTCGTATTATTAATAGTTGTTGCACAAAGAGATATTTATAGATTAAAATAAAATTTTATAATTATCATTGGCTACATATAAATATAAATATCATCTGAATAAACACTATTTCTGTCTGCTATTTATATTATTATTGGTATCTAAAAGATTGCATTAAGCCTATTATTAAAACCATTCATTAACTGAAGTTATAAATAAAATCAGAATATTTATCATTTAATAACAATTGAATAAGAAAATCACTTCTAAAGACAAATTAATTAACAGTAAAGGACTAATATTGGCTTGTTTCCAATACTGAATAATAATATAGAAATTTTGTACTGGAGAGAGAAGATAATTCATAATTTAAAAAAAAAAAAATCAGATAAATATTTCAAAGCAAAACAATGCATTCTGATTGAGATACAAGGGTGTTTTTTTTTCAACCTCCGATGGTCCATAAAACAAAGACACGTGTAAATAACAAAATGAATTTATTACCAAAAGTTAGGTACAAACATGGTTACTTTTCAACATAATCACCGTGAAGATTGAGGCATTGTCATATCTGTGGATGATCTTTGAAATCCCCTCATCATAGAATGTTGCTGCCAGTGATTGAGATGGGCCTTAATGTTGTTTTGAAGATCGTCATTAGTCTCAAACCTCTGCCCTGCTAGCCACATTTTCAGTTCAGAAAAGAGGTAGAAGTCTTCACCACCTTTAAACACCCAGCGTATAGCCCCGATTTAGCGCCGAGCAACTTCNGCCAGTGATTGAGATGGGCCTTAATGTTGTTTTGAAGATCGTCATTAGTCTCAAACCTCTGCCCTGCTAGCCACATTTTCAGTTCAGAAAAGAGGTAGAAGTCTTCACCACCTTTAAACACCCAGCGTATAGCCCCGATTTAGCGCCGAGCAACTTCCACCTTTTTTCTGAACAGAAAAAGTGACTAAGAGGGCAGAGGTTTGAGACTAATGACAATCTTCAAAACAATGTTAGGGCCCATCTCAAGTCACTGGCGGCAACATTCTATGACAAGGGGATGGAAAAGCTCATCCACAGATATGACAAATGCCTCAATCTTCACGGTGATTATGTTGAAAAGTAACCATGTTTGTACCTAACTTTTGGTAATAAATTCATTTTGTTATTTACACTTGTCTTTTTTTTATGGACTATCAGAGCTTGAAAAAAAACAGCCTACATAGAATTGATGCTACAAGTATTAAAGAAACCAGTAGAAATTCTCTGAATATTAAACATTAAATTTTGCCAAGAGTAATTAAATTACAGGTCATACAATAAAAATACAAGACAAAAACAAAAGTAACAATCAGTATAAAATAATTCTCAATATAAATTATGAAAATACCAAAATGAATCTTAACAGTTTCAATTATGAAAAGATAGTTGTTTTTCTCATAATTTATATTTTAAATAATTTTATTTTCTCAAACAATATAATGACTTCTACAATCATAATTAAATAAAATTTTAATCTTATTAAAAACTAAAACACACATTTTTCCGAAGAAAACTTTTATATTGGTATTTTCAGAAATTATTTTCACATACATAAAGCTCAAAATTTTCTTATTTAGATGGTAAAAACATGTTGAAATAGAATTAGCCTCCAAAATTAGAAATAAAACAAAGTATCTATATTTTAGAACAAAAATAATAATTTACAGGAATTGTAAAGATTTGCTAATTATTAAAACAATTTATAAGATGTTTTCTAAGAAAAGATATAGTTCATCAAAATAATCCCATTTTTCAATAACTATTAATACAATAACTAAATTCAAGGCTAAACAAATATATTTTTAAGTATGTTTTAAAATCTTGAAACTTTTTCAATACCTCTATGACTAAAACAATAACGTTTATTAGGTTGCAGAGGTCCATGTGAAGAAAGAGCAATTTTATACAAAGAGCCTCCTTTAACAAACCAATCATGAGAACACTGTTGTTCACAAATACCATCACATAATAAACAACGATATAGTCTTTTTTCTTGTACGGCTTGTTGTGTGGCTTGTATTACAACTTGTGGTTTTGCACCAACAATACCTAAAATACAAAATTCATTAAATTTCTTTACTCATTATATTTTTAATAATTGATAAACGTTTTTATTTAATAATCATAATTAAGTCTTATCTATAGATATTTCCAATATTCAATTATAATAAAATTCAAAAATTATAATTTAAAAAATTTTATTTTTTTTATATTCAATTGACAAAGTTATTACTTTGTCAACTGAATATAAAAATTACATTTTGATCAAAATAAGAAAACTTGTAATAATTTCTTTTATATTGCATTGCATTTCAATGTAATATAAAGAAATTAATAATAATAATAATCATCATCATATCATAAAAAAATATCTTTCTAAATAAGAATATTTCTATTAGTTTCTTTAGAATGAATTATTGGCATGAGATATTTGTTTGTTTATGAACAAAAATAAATGATCAGAAAGCATTCAAACTAATTCTTAAAATATTTTCTGTATTGTTTTTTTATATAGATATATTACTTCTTGTAATACATCTGTAATACAAATTCTTATATATATTATTATTCAGATAATAATTGAAGCTTCTTACACTTATACCTAAACACACATACACAATTTATATAAATTAAATTACAGTACCAAGAACATGTCAAACTGGCTGGAAATTTGCATGATGGCTAGATCATGTTAGGGAATGAAAATGATTACAACAGCAGTACATTATGCAAAATTTGTGTGCAAGCCACATCCACTTAACTATTCTGTTGAAGATATAAATATAAACAGTATAGCTTATGTATCTATAATTGTGTCACCCTAATTCTAGCATGTTACTTTGTTAGTGAATGCCACATTTTTGCTTGAAGCAAAACAGGATTGTGGAACTTCAATAAGATGGCTTATTTTTCTGCAATATTTCCACTCATGTTGGAAGATATGCAAATGACAATGCTGCAAATATAGTGCCAGTGGAAAGAAGGTTGTATGCACTAACATGAGGAGTCAGGAGCAAAGTGTTACATAACATGAACAAGCTGAGCAGCACTTATATTCCAGAGCATTGGAACATTAATGGACAATGGAGGATTGTCATATACCAGGAAATATCTACAAGCTCTATCCAACAGCATTTGTTGCAGATAGATTTTTCACTTATCATTCATCATTGCAATTTCTTTCAACCTTATACCATCATCATTGGTGATGCAGCAGTTCCCTAAGAAGAAACACTGGGAGAAATATAACATTTAACTAACACTGCATCATGTTTTCTGATAAATTGCAGTTTAGCCTGGAGCATCATTAGCCCTAGCATGGATTGTTATGGTGTGAAATGCTATTGAGTTTAAACTCAGGCTTTTAGAATCTAAAATATGACTCACATCAACTATTAACTGTTATGAATATGATTAGCAATGGTAAAAGAAATTATTTAAAAAATTCTCCTCTAGTACCATTTTAATTTTAAAGTTCTGTTTTACTTGCAGACTTCCTGGCATCATCTTCCAACAAAAAATATCTGACTGCATGGATTATTCAGAAAATTTTGCATCTCATGGGTGCAAGGAATGTTTGAGATCAAATGATTTATCATCACAGTCAATATCAATAAGGATGCCTAAAATTTTGATTTTGAGTCTGGAATAGGACTTTCTTGTACAGTGCAAGTGGTGAAGGTTATGTATGTGGACGAGTGCATTCAGGAGAAAGGCTCATAATTCTCATTAAAATTCTACCTTCAGTTTTGTATATAATCTGACAAAAGTCACAGTTTCATCAGCTTCCTTATTTGTCTGGGGAGTTGTTTTACTTATAAAATCCAAGTACAGAGGAAAAATTCTAGATCCAGAAGGTAAAGAAAGGTCAATTAAATCCTGGTGTTGAAAAGCATACCTATCCAGTAGAATGCTAAGTTGCTGTACCAAGTTAAAAATTAATCTGAGATAATGGAGAGTGCATACGGTGGATTTTGTTAACTCCACTGATTAAAAAAAACAAGAATACTAAGCAGTTTACAATAATTAACAATAGAAAAGCATGCAAGGCTTCTCTATTAAGTCATAGGGCACTCTCCTCTTAGTTGAGAGGAGTGCCCTATAATTCAAGGACACAGGATTTTATAGATTTGGTTCTTGATTAAACATTTCAATAGCTCTCAAATATTCTTCTTCATGACTTGATTGACCTCTCACTTGTTTCTAAGTGTAATTAGATACTATTTTGATCATAAGAAAGATTTGACATCAACAGGTAATTTGATGCTGACTTTGATTCTAACATGGAGATGTTTGTTGACATTGAAACCCTCATTGTCTGGAAGCAGATAATTCCTCCTGACAGTTATTATTCCAAAGTACAAACCATTCAAAATTCAAATGACAAAAAAAGGATTATTAAAAGGAATTCCTTTTAGAATTAAAGTTGTTATTATTATTATTAATTTCTTTTTTGAGGAGGAAGGTTTGGATCATGTCTAGGACCTCACAGGTTACACTTTTCCTTTAGCTTGTGAGACCAATTTATTGCTTATTGAAATGTCTGAAACATGACTGCTTGGCAACTTGTTTGTTGTACCACATCAGAATTATCAAGAATGATCTCTGGAGCTGAACAAAGATATCATGGTATGTAATGCTAAAAATAGCCATCTAAGATCTCTACCATTCAATGCCACATTATACATTAGCTGTTATTACTGATAGGTACAGTCAGTAATGGCAACTGGGGAAATCCTGGACACTAGGTAAAGCCAGACATAAAATTTCAAAAAAATAAAAGGTTGGGCAGTGTGTCATGATTCCTGCCAGCCACTTAGTAATGGATTTGTTTTTATGTTTGTGCATTTTCATCCATGTTTTGTTTTCATCCAGCTGAAAATTCATTGTTTTTAGAAACTTTTCAGTTAAATTTTTATTGAATAATATATTCAGATTTTAGATATCTCTATAAGTGTGGATTATAATGTATTTTGTGATATTTATTTGTGATACATCAAAAACATAGCTAAAGTAATGTCTTGCTTTCCAAAGCTGATTAGAATCAAACAATCCAATTTGTGGCAATTACATAGGCAGTATTATAGTGTCCAGGATTGCCTCAGGTTTACTTTATGGTATAGTTACTTAGTTTTTCTCATAATACACTACAATTTTAGGTTGGCATGATCAGGATCTGCTGTTGACCATGACAAGCTAAATTTGTAGTGATTTAATATTTGAGATGTTCATAGCCCTTTTTTTATAAACTGATGAACTTATCGTATTTCAATTTCATTGTATTTCAATGAATATGTTAAGTAAATTTTATCTTTATTTTATTTGTCTGCAAAATTTTGTTCACTTTCTAGCTGACCATCCTTACCCCAAGTACTGTCTGGTACTATATCACATGGTAATACCAGACACTGAACAGTTGTCTAGTTTTTTTTTTATTTTTTGATGGAAAATAATAGGTCAACTTTTTTAATGTCTCATACCTTATAGTAGCCACTAGATTAGATCTTTTTTATACCAATTAATATTCCAAATTTTCTCTAATGGATCTTGTGAGACAGACTAAAATTTAACTTGTCAGATTCTCTAAGTCTCTCTCTACCAAACATCATATCTTCTGCTGTACCTAAAATTTTGTATTTCTAATCACTAGACCTATCAAATATCAAGCATCAAGATAATTACCACATAAACTTCACTTCATTGTATAGTACCTTTTGGTTTCGCAATTTCTGTAAACAACTGTATATGTATGTACATGCATATGTGTATGTACAAACTTTTTTGTATGTGTTTATCTGCAACAATTTTATGAAAACACAAAAACTATAATTGGATGTAAAAGAATTACTAATGTTATAAATTTGAGTAATTTTTTCATAAACATTATCAAATATATTAATATATTTAATCCTTCAGCCATATTGCTCAAATTATTAATCAGAGAGATACCATTCAACGGGATGTAAATTAAGCACAATAAATCACAAATGAGGCTACTGAATTGCAATAATACAAAAAAAATCTTTATTTGCAAACTACAAATGTAAGAGGACACCTTTGTTCTCTGACTTCTCTAATCATTATGCAACTTCCCTTGCATGCATACTCAAAAAATTGTGGGTAAAGTGTCCCAAAAAATTTAAATGTAAAAAAAAAACATTTTTTGTTTACAATAACTATTATTTAAATATTAAAATTGTTATATAAAAATGTCTAAAAATAATAACATTAAATAAAATAAATACCAGTTCTTTGATATGCATAATGATGTACATCTGCCACTAAAGCTGGATGAACATTGTATTTTTCCATAAAAACTTCTTCCATTGCAGAGGCTAATCTTAATATATATTGATCACCTAGAGTTCTTTCACCACCAATAATACAACAGCCACAATCATCAAATTCCATGTATTTATCAATTAAATTTTGAGGAACACCCCAAACTTTAGGAATCAAATGACGAGGTAATTTTGGAAGTATTTCTACAACAGAATAGATTATAGACATTTATATATCATTGTTAAATAAAATAATATATATATATTATATACATTATATTTTCAAACTGTAGTATAATGACTTTAATATAAATTTAAAATATATTCAGTATAATTTTTTTTAATATTAATTTTAATGTTAAGTGAAGCATGAAATGTCATAACAGCTTATATTTACATCATTTTGATATTCCAGAGAATTTGTAACCTAATGAGTTTGTTACTATTTTATTGTAAAATTGAAATGAATTCATTCACTAGAAAATGTTTTTTACCTCTCCTGAAAAATTTCTTTTTTGGGAGATGCCATATTTACAATGCCATAATGTTGAAAAATTTACAACATTATGGCATTGCACACTTCAAGTACTGAATTATTGAAAAAATTTCTAAACTGAATTTCTGGTTTACATACTTTACTGTACTGCACAACGAAAAGTTGCAGTCAATTGTCATTTTAATTCCAATATACTATGTCCAGCCAATTAAATTATCTATGATATTATTCCATAAATTTGTTAATATGTTTATTTCTACAAAATTTCTTTGAAAGAACTAAGCACATGTTTTATTTATTAATCTTATTTTCCTATGTCAGTTTAAAAAATGACAGGAGACAACAACTTTTTGTTAGATATAATACTATATTAGTTTTCCTCTGGTTTAATGTTTTAACAGTTTTTATGAACAATTTTGCTTTCAAGTAATGTGTTAAGTTTTATATTTTTTTCAACATTATTATTATTTAAGAAATAATTTAAAGATAATAAATCTATTGATAATCAGCAAATTAATATGAAAATAATTCTTAAAGTGTATTTTTCCATTAAACTTAAGAATTAATGGAATCATTTATTCATGATCAGAAGACAGTAAAAGAAGAAAATAGTGGATAGATGAAATAAATAAAATAATGAAAGTTTTACTAATATTAATATTAGTGACAAAAAATAAAGCTCAACAGATAACAAAAGATGACCAGAATCTTACAATTTTTAAAAAAGCAAATCAGAACATATAGACATGATGATGATAAACACAGAACATTTATGAGGAACATGCATCATAATGAATGAAAATCTGTTGATGGGGAAAATGAAATTTGTTGGTTTTATGTAACAGTAAAGATGAAAAATTATACAAATTACATGATAAAATAACTGGGTTATTGTAAAAAAAATTTTCTGTTTTATTTATTCACTGACCTTTTGAATTTTCATNAAATAATTTAAAGATAATAAATCTATTGATAATCAGCAAATTAATATGAAAATAATTCTTAAAGTGTATTTTTCCATTAAACTTAAGAATTAATGGAATCATTTATTCATGATCAGAAGACAGTAAAAGAAGAAAATAGTGGATAGATGAAATAAATAAAATAATGAAAGTTTTACTAATATTAATATTAGTGACAAAAAATAAAGCTCAACAGATAACAAAAGATGACCAGAATCTTACAATTTTTAAAAAAGCAAATCAGAACATATAGACATGATGATGATAAACACAGAACATTTATGAGGAACATGCATCATAATGAATGAAAATCTGTTGATGGGGAAAATGAAATTTGTTGGTTTTATGTAACAGTAAAGATGAAAAATTATACAAATTACATGATAAAATAACTGGGTTATTGTAAAAAAAATTTTCTGTTTTATTTATTCACTGACCTTTTGAATTTTCATAATTACTTTCTTTAGAATATTTATGTTATGTAAAAAAATGTAATTTAAAAATGATTTTTTACTTAAAATATGTCATATACATGTGATGTCAGATATTGATTTTCTAATGTCACAAACTAAAATTATTAATTAACACTTCTGAAATGCAAAATTATTTGAAATAAAAAAAATTAAAAGATAAAATTATGCATTGTATTAATAAGCCATGTCTCATAAAAAAAAAATCATTTAAAATTGATTTTCATTCATAGTAAAATATTACAAATATCAGGTCAGTCCATAAGTTTGTGGGTATTTTATGACCTTGAGAAAAATCTTGTTTTGCTGTTAAAAATGCCAGTCTAATATGATATTTTTTACACTGAAGTGTTAAGTTGGATCTCATTCATATAATACTGTTCAGAATTGGGAACATTTCAGTTGTTTATTTTTGTTAAAATGGAAGTAACAGATGAATATAAGAGACATGTTTTATACTTTTTATTTTTAAGTGATGAGAATGCTACAAATGCAGCCAAAAAATTAAATACTGTTCATAATCAAACTGTAATTAGTGTAAGGACTGCGCAGAAGTGGTTTGAAAGATTTAGAAATAATGATTTTAGTGTGGAGGATAAGGCTCGTACTGGAAGACCCGTTGACTTTGATGATGATGCTCTCTCTGCACTAGTTGAAGCAGAACCATCTTTAACAGTTGATGAAATTGCGGAACGTTTAAATTCATCCCATGGAACTGTTCATAGACATCTACAACAAATCGGAAAAGTTTCAAAGCTAGGAAAATGGATACCACATGAACTGTCAATAGCTAACTGACAACAACGTCAACTGCTCAACTCCAAAGCTTCAACTGGGAAATTTTACCTCATCCACCATATTTGCCAGATATTGCTCCCAGTGATTATCATCTTTTTCGGAGTTTGCAGAATTTTTTAAAAGGAAAAACTTTTGAGGATGAGAACAATGTAAAAAAGGCTATTTCTGAATATTTTGATTCAAAACCGAAATCATTTTACAAAGACGGGATTAAAAAGCTACCATCAAGATGGAAGAAATTGTACAAAATAATGGTGAATACATTATAGATTGAAATAAGATTTAATTAAAATTTTCTGTTGCTTTTTTTTGTAGATAAAAATACGCATGAACTTATGGACTGACCTGATAAATTATTATGTTTGGATAGATTAGCTAATAACCACAACTGTCATTCCGTAATAATGGAATTTTGCATAACGATATTTTAATATTAATATTTTCAGTGTCCTAACTGCTCTTAAAGAATGTATTTCACTTTGTTTCCTCTTTTCTTATTGTAATTGTAATGTTCTTTTTAACATTATTTTAGGTTATTGTTTTATGTTATTCTTAATTTTTTTTGTAGCAGATCCCGTCACTAAATCCAAAAATTTATAGTTTTTTTTTGGTCCTTTCATAAAATAATAATAGAGTCTGAAGAAAATATAATTAGTGGATTAGCCAATTTGACTATTTTTTTAATCAATCATACTTATCTTATTTTGAAAAATATAGAAATATCACAAATATACAGAAAATTCTTTGTTTTTCTCTTCTGTAGTTTCAAACAAAAACAAAAGCTTTTATATATTCACGATACTTTTATCTTTTTTAAAATGTAAATATGTCGGCCAAGTTTTAATTTTTTATACTTATCTTAGTTTATCCTGATTCAAGTATTCATTAGCTTATAACTATCTCAACTAATAATCATTGTAGAGTTACACTTAATTAGCTTTGTATTTTGTATAAAATCAAAGCTTGTAATTTTACAAAGTTATAAAATTTCTACACATCAGAGTTCAATAAGAGAAAGGTAAAGAAGTTATCTCTGTTTGAGATACTTCCATTTCTGCAGAGCCAGAAATATGAAAGGTAGAAGGGAGGAATTCCCTTCAAATCACATCGGGTTTGAGGAAATTTTGGGTCCTGAAAATATTCTGCACTCCTGTATTACTATATGTCAGGCTTGATTTATTTGTAATTATCTTTATGTAACAAATAAATTAGATCAAATCAACATTTAAAACAAAACAAAAAAATACTCCTTAATAACTTCATAACAAATTTAAAATATATTATATAAATTTCTTTCTTTAATTTTATTTAAATTTAAGTTTTAAAACAATCTGAATAGTCATTTCAACCTATAATCACTATAGAAAGTTATATAAAATTTATTTTATTAAACTGAAATAATTTTGAACAATAAATACTAATATTTTCTGCTTTATCTTAAAAATGAAAATAAATTATTCATATTAAAATTCAGTTACGTTTAAATATTTTTTTAATTTTTAAACATCTTTTTATCATTTTGTGACACTTATTTGTGTTTGAGAAACAAAGAAATTATATGACATGGTTTCAAATTATACGAAAAGTATTATTGATATAGAAACAGCGAATATCATCATAAAAAGGCATAATGAATACAGCTCAACAGCAAGGAAACTCATATACAGAAAAGATACAAGGTAATATATCCATTCATACATCTATATTGATTTAAAACCTGTATTAAATGCATGAATTTTAAAACAGATGTTCATTGATTTTATATTGTCGTGGAAATCTTTTTATTGTCGGGAAACGTGCATTTTTAGTGTAAACAATTTTTTAAGATATTACAAATGCTGTACTACATGTATGTGTAAGCATTTTCAAGTCTGTTGACATCCAAAGTTAATTTGATGAGGGGCAGAACTAGCCTGAAACATGTAACAATATGCGTATCAACTGAATAAAGATGGTAAAATGCCAAGTGTTGTAATTTGTGACACTTATTTGTATTTGAAAAACAAAGAAATTATATGACATGGTTTAAAATTATAAGAAAAATCTTTTTATCAATTATTAACTTTAATTTTGATACTCACTTCCTTTAATTCCTACAAGAGGGATATAATGATTCCTTCCAGAACTATTCCAAGCAATACAAAGAGGTTTATTTAAAACTTGATTTTTATCCCTACATTCTTCAGGTTTTACTAAACTAGGAAGAAAGAGACCTGGGAAACAAATATTTCAATATATTTTTATAATTATGTATTAATTAAAATATATTCTACATATGATTTTTTCATTATAAGAATAAGAATTGTATAATTAAATAAATAAACTACATAATAAAATTTACACAATATTGCTTTATTCTTTTCTGTAGAATTTATTTCTTTTCAAAATATTTGAGAAAACAAACTTGATTATTTATGATTAGTAATGATTAAGCTAAGTAATAAAATTATGCAAATTCAAATTAAATTATCTCCTCTATATTTCAGTAAAACCTCTAAGATAATCATCTCCAAAACTTAGGAAAACTGGTTATCTCAAAAGATGATCTTGTCAAAAGGAGTGACAAATATACAATGAATACAGAATACTACGTAGTAGTATGTGTTACCATACATTATGTAGTACTGTATTAGATGTATGAATTACATTTCCATGTACAGTAATACCCCAAACTTACGCGATAGGTGGGACTGAGCGATAACCGTGTAAGTCGAATTCGCGTAAGTCGGGGTATAATTTCGCAATTTGTGTAAAATCCAAGTCTGATGCATGTAAGCTAATAAATGTTCTCGTTAATCTTATCTCGTCTTTTGATTCGTTCACAGTTGCAAAAAATCACCACATAAAGAGTCTCTCAAATCTCCGTAGATATAACAAACACAGAAATAAATAACACAAAATAAATTGTAGCTGTGTGTTGATTCCACGCTACACGTCCAAACATGTAAGCCAAACAATAATGTGGGGGAGTGAGTAATCAAAAGTTGTATGGCGATCAAACAAAAGACGAATCGACGAGATTTGAAAATCGCATAACTCTGGGTTTGCGTAAGTTGGGGTAGCATAAGTCGAGGTATTACTGTAAATCATATGTAATTCTGTGTACTGTACATGAAAATATAATGTATACAGATTTAAATTAATATGAAATAGACATTTGCTTTCTCTGTTTTGATAGCACTTTTATATCTCTTCTATTTGGTCAAACAGTCTGCTCTTCCAGGTCAAATGAATTTCTGAACTCACCCAAATTCTGCCATCATCAATTATCACTTTATCCATCTCAATTAATAGAAAATATTAAATTCATTGGCTTTGTTATATATTATTTAGTTTAGTAAGAATAAGCATAAGCTATTTTGTTGAAGATATAAACAGGAAATTTATATGCTCTCTGCAATAAGAATGAATAAGAGAAAACAGAGAAGGTATACTATGAAAAAAGATTGAGATGAATTTTTATACTAACACAACAGTGCAACATATCTAACATGTACTTACATTGTACATGTTCATGGTTTCTATTTTATAACCCCATTCAGGATGATGAAACTGTCACTTCAAAGAAGTGACAGTTTCATATGATCACTTTAGTCACTTCAAAGAAGGTATTTCTTTGAAGTGACCAAAGTGATTATATAAGTCCAAGTTGTCAATGGTCAAGTAAAGAGGATAGTTTGCTTAAGAAGGATTAAAACCAATGAGACCTATGGAATAAAAATTCTGTTCTAAGAAAATCTGGTCATAGTCATCTGGAAAGGTTTTATACTCTCATTTTTAAACTTAAAATACCAATTGGTTTAACTTTTATTCTAATTATTAACAAATTCTAAATTAAATGTCCAGAAACACTGGAATATAGTACACTACAATCAAAGTTTACATAATCAATCAGTTATGACATTTTCTATAAATCAATCATTAGAAATATTAAGTTTCAAATTTTAGGTTAATAAAATAAAATTTTCCAATAAAATGTTTATATTTAAAATTCAGTCCAACTTAAATTTTAATTACTAGATTAAAAAATTCTCATTTCCATTATTATTCCACAACTGTTAATTTCTTTATTTATTTTAGCTAAAAATCATTGAAAATCTAAAATTGAAGAAATAAAATTACCTGAGTAATCTCCTAAGCTTTGCATTCCAGCTAAAGAATCTAATAATATAATTGGACGTTTAAGAACATTTGCTAATCCAAAAATGTGTATATTTCTTAATCCTAGTAATTCTCCATCAGATGGTACAAAATCAGGGTCACACTCTGCTATAATAGCATCCCATTCTCTCTCATCTATAAATTCTTTTAACAGTTCCTAGAATATATAATTTATAAATAGATAAATATTTTGTATAAATTTGTATATTTTGTATAAATCTATAACTGAACTGAAGCTTTCAACACTCAAATATTATATTATTTTTATATTGTAATTTATACTCATATTAATGAATATGAATGCATTAATCTTCCAGAAATAGCAAAACTATCAAAATATTTACAAGGTATTTTTATTAATAAAAACTGAAATGTTAAATAAATTTATGAATTGTAAATGCAGTCATCAATCATGACATAAAACCAAATCAGATGATAAAACTAAATGTTTTCAGCAATAGAAAAATAAAATATTATAGTAGCATTACATTAAACAATAATAGCAACAGTAATTATTTTAGTTCACTCACTGATCTTAGTTTCATTTATAGATGAAAGAATATTTAGTACTTTTATATAATTGCAAATTTATTAGACTGCAATTTAAAAAAAATTGTAGACCTATAAATTCCCATTGTCGTCTAATTTCAAGAATGGTGATAGATAGATGAAAGTTGAGACCCAGATATGGAAAGCTTAGGGGCAGGAAGCCGTGATTAACTATATATAAATTTCTGGTGTAGACTGGAAGTCATGTGATTTCAATTCAAAAATTCAATCTGGAATGGAGTTACATAGATGAACAGCATAATTATATTGTTAAAAGAAAAGTATAATGTACAGGGGCAAGACTAATAATTTGACATCCAGATCATATATTTTAAATTAAATAAATTAAAAATATGATTAAAAATGCAGCATGGCATTGTGATGATATCACAATAATTTTTGCTCATTTATATTTTGAAAAATTTTTTACAACTGTGGATCATTTCTTTAAAATTTAAAAGTTAAAGGTTATATTTTATGATTCCTTCAGGAAACATAATCCAAGAAAACATTATTTGAAGAATTAAAATATTCTTCTAAAAATGTTTTTGAAACATTAAGCAAAGAGTTACAATAGTTATCACATCCATAATGTATGCATTAAAGTCAAACTACTTTAAATTGCAGTTGAACTTCTGAAAAATATAAACTAAATTACAGTAACACTAACAAAAAATAAACAAGAAAATTCACAGTACTTTTATGTTTCCAATATTATTATAAAATAATAATAATTAAGAATTGTTGAATCTAATTCATAACAAGTGTTAAAACATTAATAAGGTTCTAAAAAATTGATAGTTTATTTCCATCACTGATAATTGTCATTTTTTTTATTTTTAATATTTTAAAATTAAACTTTAAAATAAAATCATTTGCTAGTTTCTCTCCTTATTCTTTGAATTATTATTATAAAAGTGAAAAAAAATATTAATATTAATCTTTGGGAAAACTACAATTTACACATCATACAAATTCTATCAGTGAGTGAGTGAAAGTAATATACAGGGTGTATCAGTACAGCAATTACAAACTTTCAGGAGAGATAGAGTACACCTAGACGATGGGAAATCACATAGCAAGGCATGGTCGAAAATGCTTTTTTGGCACAGTAGTGATGACATAAAACACAAGAAAGGAAGGACACAAACAGGGTGAGAAAACATGTTTATTATTCTTAGTACAACAAAAATCAAAGGTGGTGTTTGAAATTACGACCCCAGGATACATCTATCGCGTAAACCAGCCAAAGACATCCCAGCATTTTTACTGTACTAAGAATAATAAACATGTTTTTTCACCCTGTTTGTGTCCTTCCTTTCCTGTGTTTTGTGTCATCACTACCGCACTAGGAAAGTGTTTCCAACTATGCATTGCTATGTGATTTCCCATCATCTAGATATACTTTATCTCTCCTGAAAGTTTGTAACCACTGTACTGATACACCCTGTAGATCATATAAGCTATATTAACTTCACTAACATGGAATGAAAGCAGGAGAGAAAAAAGTGGAAAAGAACCTCCACTACATTATCAAAAAAATCTAAGTATTTCTGAGGCATCAAACTTTAATGCTAGATTTTCCTAGAACAAAAATAGCATGTTAATGGAACATCTTAAGTGCCATCTGCCTAATTTTAAAAAGTTTACAATAATGAATTTATTTGTATTATTTCATATCACACTGTTTTCTTACGTCTTATTACCAATTACTTTGACGAAAAGAAAAGTCACCTTTATAACTGCAGCAACACATTTATTAAAAATAAGAATATTTTCAATCTGTTTGACTGATCTTCCTCAGTTAATAGAAATGTAAAAAGAAGAATACAATAAATGTATAACAATATACAAGTATCCCTTCTACAACACATTTGAAAATTGGAAATACCTCCAAACAACATGACTTCCAGTTTTGCTCTAACACTGTTTTGGAAATCCTCTGTACAAAATTTTACAATTTTTACGTGTAAACTTCCTTATTCATATTTTTTTTTATTCAAGTAAGAATGCATGTTGTTTCAAATTTGCCCATGGATTTTAGAATATTGAAATTTTCAAATTATTTTATGCTTTTTGTCAGGCTTATTTTAATGAAAATTGATAGGACAAGGAAGAAAAAATTGTACTAACTTTTCTATCAACCAAGTGTCGTAGTCATTGATTTCAAACTTTAGCCCTTAAGACTCACTATATTTTCTTTTTATAGATCAGTGATTTTTAACCAGTGTGCCATGAGAGGATCATAGGTGTGCCATGAAAATTTCTGAAGTTTATTAAATAAATTATTTTCAAAAGAAGCCCAAAGAACAATAAGTATACGTGTCAAAATTAAACTCTCTTTAAATTGATTATATAAGATTTTCATTGTTGTAATGAATAAACATACATAATGAAGTAAAAAATATATATTCATAAAATATTTTGTATAAATCTATAACTGAACTGAAGCTTTCAACACTCAAATATTATATTATTTTTATATTGTAATTTATACTCATATTAATGAATATGGCAGATTTCTAAAGACAATTATCATATGACTTTTAAATGCAAATTAAGACTTAAAATTATAATTTAAATGCTAATTGCTTTTCTTATGTAAATAAAAATGATTAATTTAAATAACTATTATTGTAACCTGCTGTTATTTTAAGGAACAACAATACTGTTTTATTTAATTCACAAAAAATACACACAAAAAAAAAATTAGATTAAGTGGGAAGTAATATGGTAATAGAATGTTTACAAAAGTAACTTTAAATCATGTGATTTTTTCAGCACAAATTTGTGCTACGAAATTTAATTATAAGTTCAAGTGCACCATGATATGAAAAAGATTAAAAATGCTGTTATAGATTAATCTTTGTATTTAGTAAAATTTATTTAAACATTTTTAGGTAAGTGTTATCAAACTTTTTTAACCATAAGTATTACTTACCTATGAATGATTACTTCATTCATAAAAATGATGAGCAAAATACAGCAGTATCTCTGTACTTGAACAATTCAGTATTCAAACACAAATTCTGGGAAAAAGTCACTCAGTACTCAACTGAATGAACGCAACCCACTAGAAAAAATTTCTATTAATAACATATTTTTATTTCGTCATCCATAAACAATTTTTATGATAAAAATAAAAAATATGAAAATGTTGATGATACTTCTGATCAAGAGCAACAAAAAAGATGAGATGACGGCAATACTTTGTAAAAAGAAAACACCCTCATTTAACTAAAATTAATATTAACAGTACTTTTAATTGTGATTGTTAATTAATTGTTGATTGGAAAGAAATAATTGATTACTTTCATAAACATATTTCTCTTACTGGTTTTGTTGTGGGTTTTAAAGAATTAAAGGCTATTGGCTTTTTTTCAGTAACATATCATACAAGGAACATTTGTTGATATAGGTTTTATTGGAGGTAATGCCCACTTCTATCTTATATAACATTAAATATTTAGTTTAATCTTTTGGTATTTTAACCACCACCCACCTCATATCTTCTACCCATATACAGTAACCCTTGTAAACAGATTCTAACCAGTCAATTACCCAATATTTTCTTTAATGTCAATTTGTAATCAACCATTCTAAAGACTGAAGAAGGGTCATTAAGACCTGAAATGCATTTCCTACAATAAAACCTATATCAACAAATGCTCCTTGTATGATATGTTACTGTTAAAAAAAAGTCAATATTTGTTTTAGTAACAAAAAAGAATAGTATACTTTTGCTAACTTCTGGAACATAACAACTATATTTTGCATTAGTCCTTTGTTTCATGTAGCATGATTTGCATAAAATGGCACTTTTTCAGAACATAACTAATGTGTTATACAAAGTTCACCCAACTGAACACTACTAGTAACATTAATAATCATAGTTTTCACTATACTCGCACTAACTGGCAATTATTATAAGACACCTTCAATAACATTTGGGCTGGTATCCCTCACCACAATCACTATACTCAGGACACCTTAGACCATCTTGTCACCAGGCTTACAAATACATAACTAACTCTTATGTTATTGCCTCCAAGCTCGAACATTGTAAACACAAAAAAGTTCCTTGGTGGATCACTGAGCTAGAAAACAAGAAAAAAGAAGTTAGGAGATTAAGGAGGCAATTTAGGAATGAACAGGACCTGGACATTAATTAAAGCCACACTTAGAGATCAGTACAGGCACAAATGCAACGCTTACAAAACCCTTATAAATAAAACAAGGACAAATACTTGGAAGGATTTCTGTACCAACACTTGCGGTCGCAATCCCTAGTCAGAACCATACTACTTAGCTTGTAAGGAAAAACATCAGCTCCAAATTCCCTCCCCTATCCAGATCCCCAATGGTCGCTACACTAATAACACTGAGGATACTATCACGCACATTCTCACTAGTCTTTACCCTTCAGATGACCCACAACATAATGACAGTATACAAGTGGTCATCAGTAGTTCTATACTCACTCCATCTAACACAGACAATGACCACAACTTCACCTACATTGAGGTCTCAAATGCCATCTGCTCACTCACCGATAACAAAGTCCCAGGCCTTGACAGCATAACCACTGGGATGATTAAACACACATTT